TCCGCGACGTGCGCGCCAACGTGCAAAACAAGGGCTGCATACATGACACATTGTGCAAGGCACATTTTGAAGATCGGATACGGACGCGTTTGTAGATGTCCGACGTTGTTTCCATTGTGAAGCTAAGTTAACAATATATCATTCATACATAAACATGTTTCGGGAGTAAATAACTTGACTTATTGAATAAAGTTTAGCTAATCCACTACTACGATAATTAGGCAATAATTTAATATCGTAGCATCAACCAACACCCGCTCGTCTCAAACCCATTATTTCCATTTGATTCATTGCGACTTTCACCTCCGCCCCGTGAAATAGTTTACGCACGCCTCTGCTCTCTCGTTTTTAACAACCGTCCGACCTCACGACTACAAAACCACTCACCAGTCTGCATAGGATTCAACAAATGCTCTCACTCCACCGCTCTTCAGCACACCCAAAAAAAAACATGTAAAAAAAAAACAAACACCTCTGTTAAACATTCCCAAAGAGTGCCCTCTGTCTCGTCTCTTTGCTGGATGAAGTCACTGGCGACGAGTAAACCAAAATCGAGTCCCAAACAGGCGCAGAGGCATTTTTCTTTTTTACTAGTTGTCCGAGTTTCGGCGGCCGGCAAATGCTGCGCCATCTTACTCAGCTCAGCTCGTGGCTGAGCTCTGAGAGCGCGGGAAAGACGGACTGCCCTCCCCCTGCCCTCTGCTGGCGCGTGCTGTGCATTACAACCAATGCCGTTCCCTGTCAAAACTCGTGTCAGTTGTAATAGAATGGAACCGCATCTGTGATTTGGCGCAGTCTGTGACGTCACGGTATTGAAAATCATACCGACGGGATTTCGAAATACCCTGGTATACCGTAATACCGTCATACCGCCCAAGCCTAATTCACTCTCTGTCCTAAACGGCTTGTTGGAGCCCCTGCCCCCCCCTCCCTATGAGCCCAGTGGCCGTCTGCGAGACACCTAGACACAGCGAAAGCAAGCCCGAAACCAGCTCGAGCACACACACACACCCGCAGCCTGGCTGTGAGTTTGTGTGTGCTCACACACAAACTCACAGCCTCGCCGCGTCCTGCCGTCTCAGGGAGGAGAAATCGGCGGAGCTGCAGCTGAGAAAAGATTGAGTGTGTGTGTGTGAGGAAGTCCGCAGATTGGTCCATTTGGACCGATCCATGGACGTAACGTAACGGCTCCACGGATTGGTCCATTTGGTTATGGGCACGTCACTGTACCCAGGAAGAAAAAGAGAAATCTCCAACGAGGCGTTCTGGGGCAGCATAGACAGGTCTTTTCTGTGTTAGAGTTGTACTCCCTACAGGGTGTACTTTGAGGGTTTCTGACTCTGCAGACCGTTTACATGCAGTAAAAGCTTCATAACACAGACGGGGACGGGACGGGTAATAACTGGAAAAGCATGACATGGGACCTTTAAAATAACTTAGACAAATCAAATCGGCAGATTGAAATCTCTACATATATTTTGCAACCGCTAGAGGTCGCTCAAAAAAATGTATAACAAAATACGGAATTTGGTTGCCTTGAATCTTTTTCCGGTAAGAAAGGAGGTTAACCGGGAGTCTAAATAACCTGCATAATTATTCTCATCACCAAAACAAACGGACCAGTTGGTTAAAAAACATTTTTTTTAAACGCTGATTATTGGGACCCAGGGCGGACTTAGGATCCAGATTCCGATGACTAAATTCCTTTATCTGGTTGAAATAAATAGTTAAGAACGACCAAGATCTAACATGTGTGGCCAAAATGTGGATGAAAACTGGATAAAAAGTCAATTTATGACAGTGTCCGCCGGCAAACACTTACAACGAGGATACATGCTCAAAGGAGATGCAACACCATTATTGGAAACCACATTAAACAATAAACTGTTGCCTAAAAAGTTTCTCATATCTCACATAGTTTCTCTAAATAAAAGTCTGTATTTGAATCCCTAATTCATAGTTAGTTAGTTAGTAAGATACAGCATTACGTTTTCTTCCACCACTGGGTGCAGAAGGGTGTGTGTGGGGTTGTTTGCAGAGGAGGAGGTCTTGACATGAGGTGGCTCTCAGAGAGCAGCAGGGCATTGACCTCTGACCCTGAGCTCTGTGGTGGTAGAAAAGCATCGATCTCCATGGATTTAGACAGAAAAACTAAACATATATTAAGAACTAATGAGATTATCAAAGATTGTGTATTAGTATTGACATCATATCACTCAATCTTGCCCAC